CTGTTTCAGGAGTTAGCATCTGTAAGCTTTGTAGAATATGACAAAAAGTGGATTCTGAAAGTACTCAGAAATCCGCCTTTTGAAAGTTAACTATGCTACAGTTGAAGAAGGAAACCAGATACTAGGAAACTCACGCAAACGGATTGGATCCGGAATATACGTCCTTGAGGATCTCAGTATGGCTAATCGCATTAAGAGACGAGCTGCAGAAGTAGAAATGAATGAGCGCTGCCAAAACGGTGAAGGAAACCTCGTTCTTAAGGGTTGACAAATTGCAAACGTTCGGAACAAAATGATCTTCAGACCACTGTGGGTGGTAAGCGAAAGTTCTTCACAAAATTAAGGGTGTACTACACAAATGCTTGCAGCCCACTAAATAAAATGGTGAAGCTCAAAACAGTGGTGGGTAAAGAAAAACCGGGTGTTATTGCTATCTCAGAAACATGGTTAACATCAGTAGTTTTTGATTATGAAATTCAGTTGACTGGTTTTTCTATCCAATAGGGCTGAGAGGATCAACCTTGGGGGAGGCGCGGTTATTCTGTACACGAAAAGTACCTTAACCATACGAGCATTTGAGACAGTGGCACAGGACTCAGGGACACGTAAACTGGTTCGTTGCAAGCTAAAATGTAGAAGATAACATGTTGAATTAGTTGAAGTATGTCGTAGTCAAGAATGTGTAGTAGATGACTTTCTCCTGATCAAACTTAAGTCCCGGTGTAACAAGAGTAAAAGCCTTATAGTAGGCGACCATAATGCACCGTAGACAGACTGGGTAATAAACTTAGAAGTAGGGTCGTCGATAACGTTATTCGATTGAAAACCATCAGAAACCTCATTTGCACCAGCCTTATTCCAACACATTAGAGATCCTACCAGATATGAATTCAACGCGTGCTATTCAAAAAGGACAGTGGTATTTCAACTCTGGGTATATTTTATAGTAATGATCCTTAAATTATGCATCAAGACAACTGTTTTTCATTTAATTGAATTTATTTCAGTAAAAGTAATTCACAAGATTATTCGATGTTTACTAAGTTAAAAGAAGAGTTGTTAGAAAGTTGCTATCAGCCTTGTCACAGCAGGTACGATTGAACGCTACAGGTCGGTAAGAAATAAGTGTGATTAAAATCCGGAGAGTTCAGAGATAATATGAAATGAATTTGTCACAATCTGCACTCAAGTAGCTTAAAAGAATATTCTCGTACATAAATTACAAAACAATGATGCATCATTGGATTTCCAACTTAATGAAAGCAGGGAGTGAATCTGAAATGTTAGAGGGATGTCAGAAAAAAAACAGATGCTATGGCTGGCTATTTTGCGGCAGTTTTCAGTCAAGAACCTCTTCTAGACAAAGAGCTAGAGTCTACAAAACGCCTTCTCACCGTTTGCTTTGATCAACACGATGTACTTAATGCTCTTAGCACCTTAGGCACTGAAAAGTCAACAGGACCAGATGAACTACACCCCAAAATCTTGAGACCTATTGCACAATATATCGCGGCCCCACTGACTGTGATATTCAATATGTCACTTGAACAAGGTGAGCTACCTACGGGCCAGAAGGAAGCAGTTGTCACTTCTATTCATAAAACAGGACCAAGACAACTTCCATAGAGTTACAGACCTGTAAGCTTCACCAGTGTTGTAGTTAAAATATCGGAAAGAATAGTCAAACGGACCATGATGGCACTTATGGAGACCAATAACTTGCTAAACATAGAACAACATGATTTTAGAAAGGGTCTATCTTGTACAACGAACCTCCTTATAGCAAGGGAGTTTTGGATTAAGGCGTTAGACAACGGAAACTCAGTGGATGTTGTCTACATAGACTTCAGCAAAGCACCTGACAAGATGCCAACAAATAGACTTCTATTGAAGTTGGAAAACCTTGATATTGCCGGGCCTCTTTTAAAATGGATTAGGGATATCCTAATAGGTCGTAGACAGAAGGTAAGAATAAATTCCAAGTGCTCCAGTTGGAGACCGGTGCTTAGTGGGGTATATCAAGGTTCTGTCCTAGGTCCTTTGTTGTATGTAAATGTAATTATACACCCACTATGTAAACAACTGACGATAAATAACGGGAGACGCAGATGCAAACACGCACTTCAGGCAGACTTAAATAATGTGATTGACTTGCAGAGAGGGGCTGGGGCCTATTAACGCGGAAAGTGCGTTTACGTGCACTTTGGGGATACAAATGCTAATAGGTACAGCATAGTGGAAGTGCCTGTACCCGTGGTCCGATTTCATAAGAATATTGGGGTGACAGTGAGTTATGATCTTAAAACGATGACTCATTGACAGGAGGTCACAGCTCAAGTGTTTAAAACCCTCTGGGCTCTAGGACGGACATTCACTAAGTTAGATACTACCATGTTCACTACAATACACACAACCTTAGTGAGAACTAAGCTTGAAAACTGAGTTCTAGCTGCAAGCCCCTGTTTAAAAGGCGACTCAAATATACTGGAAACAGTGCAGAGGGCAGCTACCCGTGCAATTCCGTAACTCGAAGGGTTCACCATACGAAGAGCGGTTTAAAAAGCTGAACCTCTTTAATCTGTCCTATCACAGACTAAGGGGAGATCTAATTTTGATGTATGGAGTGCTAAGAAATGATTTTAGACTCACTATATTCCCTCTTTTTCGTCACATTAGATCGAGACATCTCATAGGATCGAACAGAATACCCGTGACATACAGGATTTCACACCGAGTCATCAATACATGGAACCTGCTGCGCGAAGCAGTGGTGTCCGCACCTCCAATTGACACATTCAAGAAAAAAGTGGACATTCATAGAAGCATACTAGAAAAAGGATAACATATGTCGTAGGCCTTCTGTCCTCACTAAATGAATCTGAATCTGAAAGTGATGCCATCGAAATGATGCATGATATAGTACGAATATTCACTGATATTATGTTGGCGCGACGACTTGCGTGTTGGAACAATTTTGAGACCTGTTTGAAAGAAGCATATAAGTAATAAGACCTCTGTGGTTGACAATTATTTTTACAGCATACGCACATTAAATAGGTCATGTCAGTATGATCCTGAACAACTAACTCGTGGCGGATATTATGTATTTGAAATTGACAGATACCTTTGCTTTGGGTGTAAATAATTGTGTTCTATGCTACTTGTAACGGCAATAAGTCTACAAAATTACTGAAATTTCTCAAACTGTGAATCCAATACTAGACAATTGTCATAGAGTTGCATTTCAGTGAGTTTTTACTATAGTCATGTGAATAGCATTCTCTTAGACGTTATCCAGATTTAACAAGGCCGGAAAATCTACGTTTTACCTGGAATTTCCGTTATGTAGTACGCGAACTGGTGATGAGGACACAGTAAACGATGAGTTCATGGCTCAGAATCTATGATGGACATCACTGTAAAAAAAATGCACACATATGTTGTCAAAGTTTGATACTTATATACACATTTATTCGCAGGAAACTCTATTTGAGAATTTTCAATGCAGTTAACCAAGAATTTGTGATTGATAATAAATACTCGGTTCATGTATTTAAATAACTTCAATTAGAAGGCAGTCGATAACGAAGTGTATTTTTTATCACTGATTCACTGCGTAATATTATTAACTCAAATACTAAAACAAATTTATGTTCATATATGAAAAAAATAAATGTGCCTAACAACAATGAAAAAACCGGCTTCCGTAGTTACAAAAAGACCTTAGGACCTATGGATACAAACAATACTCGAAGATATATTCAACGGTGAAGAATAAATACCAGTGCCTTTAGTTTTTTGCATCTGTATTTGTGAAGTATAGATGATAAACTTCTCTAGAGAAAGAATGGTACTCCTAGGGACTACTTTGACCTAAATAAATTTATTTAAAGCTCAAACAGTAGTCTTGATGCGTAATTTAACGATCAGTACTATAAAATACGCTCCTTTTTGAATAGCGCACGTATGTTACTTGATGGATGGACGTTATGAGAAATGGTGTGACGAAACTCAATTCAAATAAAAATGTCTTAATTTGACCGCTTCTGCAAAACCTTACGAATTGTCGAGGTGACACACCAATCATTTCGCGTCGGTTTGACCTTCAAGTGCTCAGTCACACCCATCAGTGGATGATACCCCAGAAGCGTTGCCAATTTGGGTAGTGCTTATCCATACCTCTTCAGTCGTTTTGCGATGAGAGAACACAAAAGGGGTAATTCATGTACTTAATTACCTTGATAATCCACAAATTCTTTCTGAGGGATAAGGTTTATCGCCTCAAATCCTAATTTGTTTACGCATCTGAACAAATACCAAGCACAACTAATATTAAATATTTTCTGTGTGACTATATAAATAGTCATACTCGGATCAAACCTGTTCTATGTCTATGTCAATGTTAGTTGTATTTTCAGACTACTTCATCTGTAGTTGTTTTCTAGTTTACTATTATAAGTATTAGCTGAACCATGTCCAAAGAAGTAACAAGAAGTGTTTTTGGTGTTGAGGAACAAAATGAGAGGAGCTTTCGCCTAATAAGCTTTCGTTCCTAGTGGCAAAATAATCACAGTGCCATCAGTTAAGCACCTGGGTATAAGGTCAATGCAGAAAAGGTGAAATTAGTGTGATAGTGCTCCGAACCCCTTAGATAATTTCGCGTTTCCTTGTGACAGATTTCAGTTTCAGTTTGCACGAGACAGGTGGCCTGTGTTAGTTCCGGCAATGGTGGTCTCATTTGATCCAATTTTCTTTTGAAAGCGTCTGCAGGTCCGATCACGTGTGGAGGTAATGAATTCCATTTGATGATTCGATGGGAAAGTCGATAGTCAGCAGACAAGCAATTTGTTCTGGTCTCATGAACGCTTTTATTGTCCTCGTAAATCCTCTGTTTTGAAAGACAAGAAAAATGAGGACATGTCAGATGCAAATTTATCACCAAGTAATTTGAAAACTGTAGTCAATTCACCTCTGGTTCTTCGATATGACAGTGGAAATAGGTTTATTTTGGCCAGTTGAGCATAAAATAGGAGCTGTGCTGTCCCGAGAGTCAGCTTACTTGCGGTTCCTTGAACCTTTTCCAACAGCGTACTGTTTCTTTTTAGACGGGCTATTCGATTGTATGTAGTATTCCAGTTTACGACGGATAAATACTGTACATAAAGTCAAAAAGGTTTTAGCATTTGCATGACTAAAGGCTCTACATATTGACCATAGGGTTCTAAACCTTTGGTATTTATCGAACGTAGTAGTATTAGTTTTTAATTCTTCGATAATGATGACTCCTAGGTCATTGTGTGTGTGAACGACAGGTAGCTCAATGTTATTCACCGTGTATGTATCTGTACCTTGGTGACCAATATGCATCATAGTGCACTTGGAAGCATTTATCGGCAACTGCCAAATTTAGACCATTCAGATAATTCCTACAGGTAATTTTTAAGATCTTTACTATCATATTTTTGCCGCTCTCTATATCTTGACATCAGCATATAACAAGACCGATGATGATAGGAGACTAAGGTCATTTACATGCAGGATGAACAACACTGGCCCCAAAACTGTACCCTGGGGCACTCCGGTAAACACAATTTCCCAGCTATGCAACTTTTTTGACGCACAATTAGGAAGTCCTTCATCATCATTAATAAATTGTCTGCAATCCCGACATTACTTAACTTATATAACAGTCGGTTGTTAGGACTTTTGTCAAAGTCTTGCTGAATTCAATGAGACAGGAATAACCTGTTCTAAATCCATGCTGATTTTTAGAAATAATCTGGTTTTCGTCGAGATACTTAAACAACTTCCGAACAACCTTTTCTAAAATTTTAACAACCATGCTGATCGATAGTCCTCGGGTTTATGTTTCATACCTGTCATGAAGACAGGACTTACTATAACATTGTTCCAGTCCTTTGGTAATCGACCATGGATTACAGATAGGTTGAAACATATGCTTAAGGGATTTGAGACAAAATTCGCTAGTTCTTTTATTAACCTGTGATACATTTCATCGAGTCTCATGGATCTGTCTACATCAAGCTCATTTAGACCGAAGAAATCGTGTTTCTTAATGGTCATAGTGTCCAGTGTGTGTGGGGTTTGTATGAATTGAAGGAGAGGATGTCTCTACGGTAAATGCATTGCTAAAGTTATTCGAGAATACCTGAGTATTTCCATAATCGTCCCCCAGCACTGGTGAAGTACTATTACCTCCCCATAATGCTGTAATATTTCCTCTTCCCTCAGTCATTTTGTTTTGATACAAATATAAACGTTTAGGGTAATCTATAGATTCCTCGACAAGTTCTTCGTGCAACCTACTGGACTTGCGGACGCTCGAGGCGCAAATATTTCGAGCTTCCCGATATTGAGATTTTGTCCCGTCATTGCCCAGTGACTTAAGTCTCCCACATTCTTCTCTTACGGAGAAGATTGTGAACCTCCTCAGTCAACCACGGTAGGGAGTCACTCGAACCCCTTTGTGTAGTCCAAGGGATGTGCGATGCAGAGAATTTTATGTACAAATCTCTGAATACCTTCCAAGACGTTCCAATGGTGTATTCTGGTTCTAATGTCCAATCTACTAAGGATAGTGAGTGTATAGTCCCCCGTATATTTGCTTTCCAGACATTTGGTCCGGCTTGGGCTGACACATTTTCGTTACTAACAGCTATTTGGAAATCAAAGCCTAGAACTGCATAGTCACTTTTACCTGGAGGTGGGATATAATCCAGGTTTGTGGCGTCATCATCATAATGGGTCAATATGAGGTCTAGTAAGGATGATTTAGAGTCCGGGTCATACCTAGTTGTTTCTTTCACATGTCGCACTACGGCACATGAGATAACCAAGTCAACTAGTTCCTGTTCAAAGGAATTTTCTAACAATTCAGTCCTCGGATTTTTCCATTTTATAGTAGGTGGATTAAAGTTTCCTAAAGTTAAACATCGACCACTTGATAACCATATCTCGAAACCGTTTAGCGAGACCTCATTCACCTCACAGTTTGAACTGTGGTAGACCAAACCAATCAATAGCTCTTGTATTCCAGGCAGCAACGAACAGATTCGCAAGTCCCACTTTCATGGGATACTTACTTACTTACTTACGCCTGTTACTCCTCGTGAAGGAGCATAGGCCGCTCACCAGCGTTCTCCATCCAACCCTGTCCTGGGCAATCCTCTCTAGCTCCGTCTAGTTGTAATTCATCGTTTTCATATCTGCTTCTATTATCCGACGCAATGTGCTCTTTGACCTTCCTCTTTTCCGCTTCCCTTCAGGATTCCAAGTTAGGGCTTGCCTCGTGATGCAGTTCGACGATTTGCGCAATGTATGTCCTATCCATTTCCATCATCTTTTCCTAGTTTCTTCTTCATCTGGAAGCTGGTTTGTTCTCTCCCAGAGAAGGCTGTTGCTGATGTTGAGTATCCTGCGTAGACAGCTATTTATAAATACTTGTATCTTCTTGATGATGGTTGTTGTAGTTCTCCAAGTTTCAGCTCCGTACAGTAGAACTGACTGCCTTGACGTTTGTATTGATGATTCTGACTTTGATATTGGTTGAAAGTTGTTTTGAGTCCCATATGTTCTTCAATTGTAGGAATGCGGCCCTTTCTGTGGCAATCCTTGCCTTTACGTCTGCATCTGAACCTCCTTGTTCATCGGTGATGCTTCCCAGGTATGTGAAGGGTTCTACATCTTCCAGAGTTTTGCCATCAAGAGTGATTGGATTGCTGTTCTTTGTTTTGCATTTGAGGACCTTGGTTTTCTCCTTGTGTATGCTGAGGCCTACCGATACAGAGACTGCTGCTACACTGGCTGTCTTCATCTGCATCTGTTCATGTGTACGTGATAGGAGGGCTAGGTCATCTGCGAAGTCCAAATCGTCTAATTGATTCTGAGCTGTCCATTGTATTCCGTGTTTTCCTTCAGATGTCGAGGTCCTCATAATCCAGTCGACCACCAGAAGAAAGAGGAAGGGAGAGATTAGACAGCTTTGTCTGAGTCCGGTCCTTACTTGGAATGCATCTGTCAGCTGTACTCCATGCACTACTTTGCGCTGTAGTCCGTCGTTTGAGTGGCGGATAATATTGACAATCTTCCCAGGAACTCCGTAGTGTCAAAGAAGTTTCCATAACGTCCACTTATCCACACTGTCAAATGCCTTTTCATAATCAATGAAGTTGATGTATAGTGACGAGTTCCACTCAACTGATTGTTCGACGATGATCCGTAGTGTTGCAACTTGGTCTGTGCACGACCGATCCTTACGGAATCCAGCTTGTTGATCTCGAAGTTGGACGTCTACTGCATCCTTCATCCGGTTCAGCAACACTCTGTTAAAGACTTTCCCTGTTACTGACAGTAGTGTAATACCTCTGTAGTTTTCACATTTGCTCAGATCTCCTTTCTTTGGAATCTTGATGAGGTGCCCTTCTTTTCAGTCCATTAGCACTTGTTCCTCCTCCCAAATCTTTTTGAATAGAAGGTAAAGCATGCTTGTGGTTGCTTCGATGTCTGATTTCAGTGCTTCAGCTGGTATGTTGTCGGGTCCTGCTGCTTTCCCGTTCTTGATTTGTCTGACGGCCATTCTGATTTCTTCCGTCGTTGGTGGGTTGACATCTATAGGAAGATCTATGTATCCTGCTTCGATGTCCGGTGGATTCATTGGAGCCGGCCTATTCAGGAGTTCCTCGAAATATTCTACCCATCTGTTCCGCTGTTGTTGAATTTCGGTGATTGGCTTGCCTTCTTTGTCTTTGACCAGCCTCTCTGGTTTACTGTATTTCCCTGCTAGTTTCTTCGTTGTATCGTAAAGCTGTTTCATATTTCCTTCTCTTGCAGCTTTTTCCGCCGTCGTTGCTAGTTCTTCCACGGATTTCTTCTTGTCAGCTTTAATGCTCCTCTTCACTTGTTTGTTTGCTTCTATGTATTCAGCTTGTGCTTGGACTTTCTCTGCTCGTGTTCGGCTGTTGTTTATTGCTGCCTTCTTGTTCTTCCTTTCTTTGATCTTGTCCAGTGTTTCTGTAGAGATCCATTCCTTATGATGGTATTTCTTTAGACCCAGAACCTCTTGACACGTTGAAGTTAATGCTTCCTTGATGCCTTTCCAGTTTTCCTCCATAGTAGTTTCTTCTTCTTTCAGTAGATCTTGTAAGGCTTGGAACCTGTTGTTGAGAGCTATCTTGAATTCATTTTGTCAGTATCTCGAAGAAAGGCTGTATTGAACCTTTGTAGTGCTGTTTGTCCACTTGTCCAGTTCTTTTTCAGCTTCAGTTTCAAATTGGCCACAACTAGATGGTGATCTGAAGCTATATCAGCTCCCCTCCTAGTTCTCACATCTTCCATTGTTCTTCGGAATTTTTTGTTGATGCAAATATGATCTATTTGGTTCTCTGTAATGTGGTCCAGTGAAATCTATGTAGCTTTGCGTATACGTTTATGTGGAAATATTGTGCCTCCTATGACTAATTTGTTGAATGCACACAGATTTGCAAATCTTTCTCCATTTTCGTTTCTCTCACCCAGTCCATGTCGTCCCATGATATCTTCATATCCAGTGTTGTCTATTCCGACTTTGGCATTTAGATCTCCCATCAGAATGATGAGGTCCTTTCTTGGGCACTTCTCTATGATTGACTGCAGCCGCTCGTAGAACTGATCTTTAATTTCGTCGTTGCTATCATTGGTGGGTGCATAACATTGGATAATATTCATTAAGATCCCCTCCTTCTTTGTTTTGAATGATGCTTTGATGATTCTGGATCCGTGAGATTCCCATCCTACAAGTGCATTTCGTGCTACTTTGGACAGCATTAGAGCAACTCCCTGAGTGTGTGGAGCATTTTCCTCTTCGTGACCGGAGTATAGCAGCATCTCTCCCGTAGTAAGCCTTTGTTGTCCAGCTTGGGTCCGATGGGTTTCGCTGATTCCCAGTACTGCCAAGTTGTATCTCCTCATTTCCGTTGCTATTTGACTGGTCTTCCCGGTTTCCCACATTGTTCGAACGTTCCATGTACCTATAAAAATTGTTGCTCTGGTTGTTAGAAGGGGCATCGGCCTCGTGGCTTCCGAAGGAGCTCGGCTTTCACCATGAAGCGTCATAATTCTAAATGAAAACCTACTAACTCCTAGGGCAGAGTTAAAATGGTTTGGTTTATTTTTTCTGGTAAGCGTTTTTTTAGCGAGTTAGTTTTCTACGGGATGGGGACGCTAACCCCATGCCCAACCCTCCTCCTTTACCCGGGCTTGGGACCGGCAGTAACCCTATAAGAGCTACAGGTGGAGTTACTTTCATGGGATACGTTATCAGTAACAACGAAGAAATTCATACGTACGTACATCAGTTCAAGTTGCCATACCACATTAGCACAGAGATGCAGTTGTCGATTCAAATCCCGTAGTGATAGAGGCGGTAAGAGCATAAGCAGTAATCGGGAAAATTAGGGTTTGGAGATGTTATTTAAAGAGTATAATCCAGTGAA